CACGCAGGACAGAAAGCAGCAGTGCCGTGCTCCGTCACAGTGGGAGGGGATGCTGTACAGGAATATTGTTCTCCCCATGGAAACCTGCCTCCGTGCGCCTCCGTGCTCATAGGCGCCCCAGATCCCATGATCTCTGTCCTCACTGGGCGGATGCTGGCTGAAAGCATGATCTCCTTCCCGGGAAACCTCAGCTGCCACAGCTGCCAACCCCGAGTGCTGCCGAATCACTTCATGCTGTCTGATTGCTCTGATATCTTATGTGGTTCTTTGACAAAACTGTGTTTCCAAGAAATGTGTTCTCATATCATATCATATCATTTTCTACCCATCCAGCACACCTCTCACCAAACTAAAAACAATGACACAAATAATAGGGAAATTATTTCTTTTGTAAGTTTGCTCATGGAGAAAGACCAGTGATACCATTCATTTTAATTCTTCCTTGAATATATCTTTAGTCATTAGTTTTTTGTGGTCCAATGAAGCAACACTATTTTATTTTACAATTAAAAAATGAAAACTAAGATCAGATTATGAACTCTGCAGTATAAGAGCTTTTCAAAAATCTTTTATTTGTACCCTTATTCTGTGGGAACGTGCTTACGCAATATGTAGTAATAACTTTCATAATCCTGTACAGGCTCAGGTGAGAAGAGCTGCCCAAGCTGGGATTATGTGAGAGTGTGGTTACCCAGGAGAGGGCAAGAATTCAGGCCAATGCACATAAATCAGACTCCAGAGAAAGGGCTGGTTTTAATCGGATAGACAACCTGCTCCACTGTGTAGAGCCTGGAGACAGTTTGGTTTAAAGATAGTTTTTAATCCAAAGCCTTGCCGCTCTAAAGAAACAACGAGGGATGTAACATATTAGTATCAGCAACAAGCAGGAAGATTTGGATTTTAAGATAGTTTACAGTCGTTGCAAGTTTAATCAGTCATGACTTTAATGACACTTAACCACACTAGTGGTTTAATGACGCTTTAATGTCTAAACCGTAGAGCAGTGTTTTCCAAATACGATGTGTGCTCGTCGTTGTGCATGGAGACAGAAGATTGCGTGGAGTGAATGCCCCAGGGAAAGCATAGAGCTGGTCAGGAGTTTATTTTTTATCTGCGCTTATTCCCCTGTGCTTGGCACTGCTTGGTTTAACACAGAATTCAGATGGGCTGAGTGAGAGTTCAGGATCAGGGAACAGTGTGAACAGTGGCTCTGCTGCCCCAGTGTGGGGCCCGGTGCCGGTGTCTGCTGCAATATCCGTTTCAGGTTGCAGATACATGGACATTATATTGTTGCTACAGGAGTAGGTGGCTCAAAACAACAGCAAAGAGATGAAAATGAAATGAAAATGAAAGAAATTTCATTTAAAAATGAAAGCCCAGGAAGTAATTATGCAGGTAAAATTAAATAATTCATTTTTAAAGCACCTTACATAAAAATATTCCAAAGTGCTGTAAATAAATAAATAAAAAAAAAACAAGAAAACAAAACAAATTCAAAACATCCAAAATGCTCAGAATCCTGGAGGTTCCTGGGAAATGTAGTCCACAGTCTAGGTCTGTATAGACTAAAGGTCCTGTCAGCTCAGAGGAACCCTGCAGCAGTGGATCAATATTGGGGTTGGGCTGGGGATATGATTGGACACAGGATCAGTGATGTTGGGGGAATGAGATGTTAAAAGTCTTGAACATCCTGAACAGGATTTCACAGCGAATTGTAGACTCACCCAGAAGGCAAGGAGAGAAATGTATACATACCGTACTACAGAGAGCTGATGTTAGTGTAGGCCCTTGAGAAACCATTCCAGAGACAGAACTCACCATACTTACTGAGATCAACAGCTTTCTCTGCTAAAGGTAAGATCTACACCAACCTTGAGCAATACCAGTAATCCCAAATATGCCTTTTTGTCTTTAAAAAAATAATGTTATTGTCGAAAGTACTAAAGATACAGGCACTAAGGTCCAGTAAAATTAAATTAAGTAGCATACTGGCAATAGATATAAAAGGCATTTAGAATATAATTTTTGACTTTGACAGGGGCTGTTTTCGTGCTGAATAAAGTCTCAGTCTCAACTGAAAAGGTTTGTATAGTTTGTCAAAAGATGATGGTTCCTTATGGATGTCATACGTTTTAGCCAAATACAGAAAATGTAAAAGTTGCCTGTAATTATTTGGATCTTTAGCAATGTAGTCAAATCTCTTGCAGCTGATGAAAAGCAGTTTTCTATACAGGAGGTGTAGCTCCAGTGACTATAGACAATAAGGGCTCATTGATGACACCAGCACAGAGAGTGACCTTTAGAACACAGCTGCATTGTTCGGTGGGAGGCAGCCTGCTGACTGTCTGAGCAAGGCACTGACAGGGCCGCAGAGGGGCCACTGGGCTGGCTTTGGGGCGCTGTGAGCACCGGGAGGGGCGTGGACTGCCCAGGATCAGAGAAGTCTGCAGAATTGTCAAGACACAAACACAAGCCCTGGGCAACTGTGTCTCTGCTCAGCTGGCTCATTAACCCAAAGAGAGAGAGAAAGAAGCTAATGATGCCAAGTGAAATGACCCCGCTTTTAAAACACTCCCATATTAACAGGAGCACACCCTGAAACGGTGACAGCTTTACAAATGATTATCAACCTTCAGCATGATCGTATGCATCAGACCTCACATGACACACAGGACCAGACTAACAGATGAGTTTGTGTCAGGTTAGTTTTGTGCGTGCTGTTTCTGTGCAATTTCATTGATTGCTACACAAAGGCTGTTGACTCTAGTATGGTTGGTCTCTATAAGGGGGTTAATTAAAGGGTCCCAACACATACAGTACACATAACACATGTACTTGCACTTGGTTCTCAAAGATTTCCCTTTGCGGAGGGTGAAGGGCTGTGCAGGCCATCAGTCTCAGTAGCCATCGCAGGCATCGCAGAAGCAGCTCTGCTCTCTGGCAGGATCTTCCCCCCTGAAGGAAGCTAAACCCTCACAGCGCCTGCGAAGAACTTTTCCAGCAGAGCACCAGACAGCTCGGGGGGGGGTGAGGGCTCAGTGGGGCTGTGCTGTGGCTGGGGCCCCTGCTGTAACCCCGAAATGTGTTGTGGCCCCTGTTCTGCAGGTGAAGGTGTGGTTCCAGAACAGGCGCACCAAGCAGAAGAAGGACCAGACCAAGGACATGGACAGGCGCTCCTGCTCCTCCTCCGAGTCCCTGGCCACCTGCAACATCCTGCGGCTGCTGGAGCAGGGCCGGCTGCTGTCGGTGCCGGTGCCCCCCAGCCCGCTGCCGCCCCCGCCGGCCCTGGCGCCCACCTCGGGCAGCTCCTCCCCGGGGCTCAGCAGGACCCCCCCCGGCTCCGGAAGCACTTTCCGGCTCCCCGTCCCCTCTCTGGGCCCGCCCCCGTCCCCCCACGTGGGGGCCCCCCAGCTCTGCTTCTCCGTGCCCCCGCCTGGCGGCTCCAGCTGCGGCTTCTCGGCCTTCGAGCCCTACACGCGGATAGAGAGGAAGGAGGCCGAGGCCTGCGGGAGGAAGAGCAGCTCGTAGAGACCCCCGGGACCGCGGGACAGAGGCGTGTGTGCGGCGGGGGGGACCAGCGGTCTGCAGGCAGTTCCCGGCGTTTCGACGTGCTGTCCCGGCGTGTCTCCTGGAAGACGGTTGGGCGTTTATTATTGCCTCCCCTCCTGCCCCCTGACCTCTGGAGCACCTCGCCCTGCTTGTCCCTTGTCTCCCGTTTCCGGTCCTCGACTGCCACTCTTTTCCAGGATGCTTTCTGCTCGCAGTCTCTTGCAGACGCTCTGCCCGGGAGTCTCCAGTCTCAGACTCTCTGTGCCAGTGTCTGTGGCGCACTGCGGCACTGCGGGGGGGCAGTTTCAAGAGGATCAAAGAGCCCTGAGACACTGAACCTGCTCTAGGGCTTGACCGTCCCCGGTATAACTGTAGTTTAAATTCTGTGCATCAGTGTTTCTGATGTCCAGCTTTTCAGAAATGAAGAGAAACTTGTGGTTTGATAGTAAAAAATTGATGATTTTATCCAAAGCCTGTGAAGAGATCAGTGCGTCACCAGCTGTCAGTTACGATGGGGCGCCAGCGCTGGGTCTTCCCTGGAAGAAGGGGTGCAGGAATGTTGTGCCACTTGAGCAGGATACGGAACAGTGCAGTGAGTCAGTGACAGAGCCAGATGCTGAGACTAACACCTCTCTTACCTTGAAGAAAAGTCAGCCCTGCAGTGTTAAAAAAAAGTAATTGAGTCTGATGAGGCTTGAGGGAGAGATGTCTGGGTGGACTTTTGTGGGAGCAAATGTCTCTCAGCATTGATTGAACTGCTCTTTATGAGCCCTGAAGGTTAGCGATGGCATATTAACACACCTGCTACCCCATTTAGGAAGAGACCTGTCATCTCCATGGGGCTCTGTGAGTGAGACTCACAGACAGCAGCAATCACTGACACTTTGACAGCAGGGCTGTCCTTTTGTTTGACCCCAAGCTCTTTGGTACTTATATTGTCTGATTACTGAATCAACAGGGTTATTTAAACCCTGTTTATCTCTCTATGCCCAGAGACATTGGGTAAAAAATACTGAGTGCTTAGTTTAATCACAAAATTGTTCACAGTAATAATCTTTAAACACTGTCAGGTGAACAAATGATGAGATGTGTTAAGTATAAAGACAAGATCACAGAAAGACCCACAGTGATTTAACAGGTACTTTCTAGCAGAAGTATAAGCTAGCAGTGTGAATAGCAGAGTGGTGAACAGCACATACTCATGCATTGCAGAGTGTCAGTGCAGTAACTGCAGGGGCAGTTATTGAGCTCTGAAGAGTCAGAGGCATGACTTACAGTTACATACTGACTTAGATGCTCCGTTTGCATAAAGGAATGAGTGCATTGTCAATATTAAGTGGGGCTATTCTGTTGTATATTGCGTGTCTTTGATTGCTGCCTCCAATCTCCCTTTATTTCTCTTTGCCACTTCTCTGTCACTCTGACTTTTACTTTCTTTTTCCTGTGTGCAAAGGCCTGACCACCCTGTGGGCTTTGATGTCCTACATTTGAGCTTCCTTGTGTGCCTCTCCTGGTGTGTTCTTGTGGAGTGAAGTCGGGCTGTACTGTAAACTTCACTACTGTGTTTCTCCAAAGCTGTGCACTAATGATACAGAATGACTACACAGTCTGGTTGGATCACTCTTCCATGCCGTTTGTGAAACCTAGTTACCCACGAGCATTGTTTATAATTCACCTAGTGAATCATTAAGTATGAAGGAGTACAAAAGCTGGGTGGCACTTTGGCACAGTGGTTAGCGTCGCTATCTCGCACTGCTGGGGCTCTGGGTTCAACTGTGTATCGGGGTGCTATCCGTGTGGAGTTTGCATGTTCTTCCCAAGGTTCCACTGGGTGCTCAGGTTTCCTTCCACAATTCCAAGACATACTGGTAGGGTAAGTGGCTTTTGGGGAAACTGGCCCCAGTGTTAGTGTGTGTATCTGTGTGTGCCCTGCACCTCATTTGCACCCCTTACTTGTCAGGACAGGCTTCAGCTCCAGTGTGACCCTGTACGGATGAAGAGGTTAGATGGATGGATGGAGTACAAAACCTGGTTAAAACTGATTCAAGTGTTCCGGTTTCCACTAACAAAACAAGCTGCAATTAAAGTAGCCGTTAGGATTCTAGACCATAGGGTTGCAGGTTCGAATCCCATCTGGGGTGCTCCTGTTATGTCCCTGAGCAAGGAGTTTCACTCAAATGCTCTGCTGCTTAAATGGGTAACTTGTCAGGTCACTGTAGATGAGAAATGTTTCTTTCTCAGCTGGATTGATAAAGGATTCAATTAAGATAGGTTAAAGAGTTTTTTATGTCCAAACTACTTTAGCTTTGTAACTACGTTCTCTGGGGTGAAATAAGTTATTGTTTCATTAAGCAAATTCATGAATTAATGCTGTGCTGCTGTGTATTTCTCTTTGGTTTTCTGTACTGTTAATAATTACACAGATCTGGCTAGTGGCTTCTTGTATCTTTTGCTTTGCCAGCAACATTCTTCAGATTTTCTGACAGCGTGTTTGGAGTCATGACTGCAGCTCCATTACGCAGTTCAGCTACAGGTACCGCTGTCCTGTGAAAATGGACGTGAGGCTAAACTGGAAAACTAGACGGACTGAAGGAATGATCAGCCAGCTTCAGGAGCAAAGACTACAAGAGAATCTGTAATAAAAACACAGGTCATGCAAAAAAAGTCAAATCTCGACGGCCTGGGACAAAGGCTGGCCAGCCTGTTCCTGCTGGCCTGGGTTTGGAGTAAGACCCTCAGACACTGTGACTGGACTGTCCTCCGTCTTTGCCCCTTGTGTCCACTGCCAGTGGGACTACCTGTTTCCAACCTCCAGAGTCTTCAGATTTCTGATGGAAGAGTGTTGTTGATTTCCTTTGTTCCTACTTCTTCTTTTAATATAAGGTGCTACTGTATCAAAGAGCTCAATGAATGGAATCTATTGAGATTGTGTTGCTATGGTTTTAATTTAGTGTTCTTACACACTGGTAAGCCATATTCCATTGGCAGTAACAATGTGTAATTTATAAATGAGCTGGTCCCAGTTACTCACAAACTGCAGGTGTATGTAAATATATAGGCCTTGCACAGTACCTCAAAGTCAGTATCACGTGATAAGAAAACAGATCTTTATATATGCTTTACAATACTGTGTCCCATTAACAATTTGCACTTATTTTTATTTTCTTTTGCTGTACAATGTTATGTACATTCAGCTGAAAGAAGGTCTCTTCTTGTTCTGGACAACAGAGTTGTTTTCGTGCTCAGGCAATGAAAACCAAGACTGTAAATAATATGTACATGTATTTTTATTCATATGCCTATAAATCTATATGTCTATGTCTACTGCTCATTGTCTGCAGTTTTCTTTTTAAACTATACTTATCATAATAATAGTATTAATAATTGTGGTATATAGCACGCTTCCTAGCAGATTCATACAACTAGAAATGCACTAAATATATGTTCTTTAGTTATCAGTTGCTTGCATTTCCACCTAAAAAAATCCCAAAGTGTTTTACATACAATAGTGCACCAGCAGCCCCACCTGGGAGACACAGCAGCATTCTGCACCAGCAGCCCCACCTGGGAGACACACAGAGGCCATTCTGCACCAGCAGCCCCACTGTAGAGCAGATCAGTTGAAGAAATGAGAAACTGCTTCACCAATAGAATTAAAGGGGACCTTTAGGGTGGCCAGACAGTGCCAGCCCAGAGAACAATCAAGCTAGGACAGCAGGAATAGCACCACCCTTTTTACTGACCAAGACCTGTATTGTGTCCCCAGTTTCCCCGTCACAATGCTGGGGCAGTTTTAGTTCAGGTGGAAGAGTGCCACTTACACCAACAAAGTACTAGTTCACCAACAGCCGCAGGAACATTTTTATTCTCAGAGGTTTCTCATCCCAGTCCTGAAAAGGCCGAGTCTTGCCTAGAGCTTGAGGACTGATGCTGTGGCCAGTTAAGGTCTTCAGATCACACTGGACCGAGTGCCCCTGCCCTGCTCAGGCTGCACATGGAATCGCTCGTCGGCCCACTGGCTGTGCTGCCTGTACATGGAGAGCCCGCATCCCGTGCTGCAGGAGCAGGTCCAGATGTTAGCTGATCAGTGAGTCCACTCAGATCTTCACTGCAGTGACCCCACATGTGCGAAGGTGGAAAGGGAGGATGCATTTTAAAAATGTTTTTTTTAGGTCTCTCAGTGCAAAGCATCTGAGACATGAGACACAGTCAAAGGTGATGCTGCCACCTTGCAAATGTCAGAAGCAGTGTAATTGCTTGGACAGACGGGCTATACGAGGGGGTATCCACAGGTCAGGAGGATGTGACTTGTTGGTCTCTCACAATGACCCCAGAAAGATCATCTTTGCAGCTTTCCAGAAACAGGAGACTGTGGTCCACTGAGATCTAGGAAGAGCATGGGCCTCCTTTAATAATCCATATCCTTCCCAGCTACAGCATGTCACTGAGTCAGGGCTGTGGGCCTGGGACACACACTCACACACTGACACACAAACACACATTCAAACGTCCGGAAACAGCAGCAGAAAGGAAAGCAAATTGCAAGCCAGCATAACGCCTCAGGGGAAGAGAGGAGCCTGGTGAAAACTGATCCTGCAGGATCTTCCCGGATCCCTCCGGGTCCCACAGCACAGAAACCCAGTGGCTGTTTATAAGGGCAGGACGCGCTCCTGCAGCGCCCAGAGCAGCGGCAGGAAGGATGTCGAGGCAGGCAGAGACCCGGACGCGCGTGGCAGCAGCCAGGGAGCACGCCCTGGCAGTGAGTCGGGACTACATCAGCCAGCCCCGCACAAGTGAGTGCACCTCCTGCCAGTGCCTCCACACAGGCCACTGCAGAGCCCCTGCAGCGCTGACCACTGACAGCGGGTTAGAGCTGGGCTCATCGTGATCAGAGTGTGTGTGAGAGCTGGGCTCGTCGTGATCGGGGTGTGTGTGAGAGCTGGGCTCATCGTGATCAGGGTGTGTGTGAGAGCTGGGCTCGTCGTGATCAGAGTGTGTGTGAGAGCTGGGCTCGTCGTGATCAGAGTGTGTGTGAGAGCTGGGCTCTTCGTGATCAGAGTGTGTGTCAGAGCTGGGCTCGTCGTGATCAGAGTGTGTGTGAGAGCTGGGCTCGTCGTGATCAGAGTGTGTGTGAGAGCTGGGCTCATCGTGATCAGAGTGTGTGAGAGAGCTGGGCTCATCGTGATCAGAGTGTGTGAGAGAGCTGGGCTCATCATGATCAGAGTGTGTGTGAGAGCTGGGCTCATCGTGATCAGAGTGTGTGTGAGAGCTGGGCTCATCGTGATCAGAGTGTGTATGAGAGCTGGGCTCGTCGTGATCGTCATGAAAATAGTTTTCTGGAGTGTTCAGAAAAATATTTTTATTTTCTTATTTGTGGAAAAGTTAAAAACGAGAAGTTTGGCTGTCATTGTTTTACCTCAAGTAGCTTGAGCGCTCTGTGGTGTGGCCTTACATTTAAAGGCCAGAGTGGAAATGGTGCATAGCAACACAGCTGGAGACACATTCACTCAGATTCTAGCTGCAGGATAAGGATAAGAAATTAAGGAAATTTGCCAAATCTATCAGAGAAAGAAAATACAGATGGGATGCTGGGAACTCTGTGGTTGCTGGCTCAGCAGGATTGTGTTTTGCGGTATTCAGGATACATTTTGAATAAAATGCATTGTCAAAAGCTCAGGAAGTATTTCAGAGCTGAAGAAATAGCTCGTGCTAATGAGTTATCAGTAGAGCCTGGCAGGGGAAAACTGAGGTGGGCAGAGCCATGCTGTGCTCCGGGGGCAGTAGGTTGTTCACTGGTGAAGAGCGATCAGCCCAGGTTCCCGTCTCTGCATGGCCATGACAGGAGAGCTGAGTGTTTTCATAGGAACAGCCTCTTGTCTTCTGACAGTAGGAAAGGCTGCTGGCTGGGAGTAAAGTCACTCTCGCATAATGTCAGGAACAAAAAGGAGTAATTGTTCGGCAGTCCAATACAGTGGCAGCCTGCGTTTGAGAATGGTAGTGATGCCAGAGAAAGCAGACGCAGTGTTTACCCTTTCCTGGTGGCTGGCTTTTAAAGAAGTGATGGCGACTGGACAAATGCTCCAAAGATGATGCTGAATTAAATAAGACGCTTTACTTTCATGTCATTTGCCAAACCGCTTTACACCACACGGTGTCGTGGGAAGCCGGAGTCTACCTGGCAAGCAATGAGCACAAGGCAGGGTTCACCCTGGACAGGGCGCCAGTCCATCGCAGGGCCAGTGCAAGCCAATCACACATGGGGACAATCTGGAGGCCACGGTAAAGGGCAAGGGGGGAAATATGGCCCGGACACCGGGATAACTCCCTACTCTTATTGAGAAATCACTTCCAGCTGTGCAGTGATCTCTGTCATGTATTTTGGGGTCTGAAAGTAATAGTGTATCATGTAAACAGTGCAGGTGATCCAGGACTGGGCTTGAGAGAACTGGACTGTGGGAGCTCCACATTGTTGCCTGTGATCTCTTGGGCATGTTTTATTGTTGTATAAATACACTCCATAGCTGTCAGGAATTCAGGTCATTCTGTAACAGAACAGCAGAAGCAATGCCTTAGTGTGTTGTTTTTCTTTTGCAGTTTTCTACTAGTAGTTTCTATTACTTACATGGACAGACAGACCACATACATCAATAACACACAGACAAACTAATACAGAAACACACAAAACATGCATGTAACACACTACACAACAACACAAAGACACAGCAACACAGACACTAGCACACAGACATACACTACAAGGACATTGACTGACTGGGCTGTCTCAAGACCACAGTGGGCGAAAGCAGCATGTTGTTCAGGGACCCTGAGAGGGGCTGAGCCACTGCTGAAGGTGATAAGAGCTTTCTGGTGGACAGATCTAGTCAGGAAGAAGCTGACCAGTCAACCACTGTGGAAAGGCCTTGGAAAAGGGCTTCTTTTCCCTCAAGATTAAAGAAAGAATGAGAGCAGGGTGATGTGCACGTGTGCAAGGGAGAGAGACTGCCTTCTTTTATTTACTGTTGTGTGCTCTTGGGGAGGAAAGCAAAGGGGATTTCATGCAGACAAGGGTGGGCAATGTCTAGGTAGCTGGTAGCACATCAGTCTGCAGAATTACAGAACAAATGGAACACTAGTCTGCTGCATACTGCTTGTAAGCGTAGTTCAGGACCCTATGTAGACGGTATAATCCGGAAGTAAGTGGAGAAGGACTACAGGGAAAAGATGTACAGGATCAGGACGGGTTGACAGATGGAGGGCGTGACGCAGTGATCCGGTGCTCGGGGGGCGTGGCCAAGACAAACTGATCCAGACAGTCCAGAGTCCAGGAACCAGGGGATCCATCCAAGATGAGACAAATAAGGTTAAAATCATGAACGGGATCCGGAACAAGGAATAAAACCAGGGTAACGAGGCCAGGCGCTCCGAGCCCTGGACCCAGATGGTCAGGACGCCATGATGAAGCCTTGCTGTCGGGTCTCTCCTGGACCCGCTGGTAGGCGGGCTTCTGGGCGGCAAACTCCCAGTGCTGAGCCAGGAATAGCAGGATCACCAGACTTAAGTGATGGGACACAAAACATGGGGCAGTTGCACATAATCCCTAAAATATGAAAGGATCGCAGAGCCCTTAAGAGGAGGGATGACAATCGTGACCCTGATGGACCCACATTTCTGAAAGATCTGATCTTATTTACATAATTTAATTTGTTGTGTACTGATAGAG